AATAAACTAACATCATCATAATTCACTGGCTACGACATAATTCTTTAAACATGTTTGCAATTAAACATAGAAACTTATAAAATTGTATATATTTTACCTACAAATGAAAGACAATCATTCAGTTTAACTATTTATAGCACAAAATTATCAATTAAACGACATGGACATTGGCAAAGTAATTACTACAACACCGTGTAAATAATATCTATATGATTTTTACTTCATGTACATTTTTTTAGAGTCAATAAAACCTTTACTAGAAAACTTCATTCATTCATTTTCGTCGATATATCCCATTGAATTTCTTTACATTAGCAATCCAGAATAATAATTTTTACTCCGACAGAGAACATGGTTGTTCTCTGGACAATAATTACTTTCTGAAACAACCTTTTTGTTTAATTTTGTGACGATTTAATTAAAAACTAGATATCCTTTGCGGTTCTTTTAACAGTTGTGCTTTTATCAAATACACGATGTAAAACATCAGATCGAACAAATATTATAAAACGATCATCTTGTTCAGGATAAAAAAACGTCACCAATTGTATAATACATAAAAAATCTAAAAGAGACTAGATCTTATTTATAAAACATAAATATACGCATTTCCCTTAAATTGTTTATCACCTTGACCGAATAATTTACAAGCACTCAGATTTGATTTAACGGTTTCAAAACAATAAAGTACCTTCACGGTCTATCTCGACTTGAAGCCTTCATTACTTCTCTTGGAAAATTGGTTTCGCGTTATTATTTTATAATAATACGATGATAATTAATAATTTACATTAGTCACAAAAAAATTAATTAAGAAAATATTTCCAGATATTAGGAAATTTCAGCTGATCAATCAAATGAATTAATTAAGAATAATTTATACAATAGTGAATTATGTAAACATTATTATTTTTTTTTTTTTTTTGTAAATAGATGTAGATTAAACTTCAAATTTTCTTATTATTATTAAAATTCAATAAAAAAAACATATAAGTAAATTATGTTATAACAAAAATATTCAATTTTAAAATCAAGTCTCAAATAATATATAGCTTCAAGAAAATTAATGTTTTTTGTCAGATATTTTAATTGAAAATCAAGTTATATTGTGAAATTTTAACTGAAAATTAATTTAAGATATAAAAGTATAAAATCTAAAACATATATTATATGTCAAATATTTTAAATAATTTTTAAGAGTTACGAAGAAACTATATAGTTTTAAGTCATTACTTCGTAATAAGTTATTCAACAAACTATTTTCGCCAATACAGCAACTAATAACTTTAATAGTGTTCTTAATATAATTTAAACTAACACTAGTAGTACATACACATAATAATATTAGGTAAATAATGATGATATAACTTGCCAGTGATTGAATAAAAACCACTAATATAATACCGAAACATCATGTTAGGTATGTTGTACGAAATTTATTAGTAGTGCACATTTAATCGGAACAAAATTTTTAACAGGACATGTGAATTAATGGGATGGGTAGGGTTATACACACATAAGTACTGACTCAGTGAACGTTCACGAGACTATTTTATCGAAGCCAACGATTGCTTATAATTGTAAGGACACGTCCAATTATTGCTATATCTTGTGTATCGGATTCACATACGTTTTATCTGTATAATCGTGACATTACCACATAATTGGTATCATCATACCAATTACAAATAAACGACTTCCACATTTTATCATAGTTTTTATTGTATTGTTTTTATTATAATGTGTCATTAATTTACATCCATCGTATGTATACTAATACATAATAATATTCAAAGAAAAATATAATTTAGCTTGAACACTAAAAAAATTTTTTAGAGCTACTAGGAAAACGTAATTTCTATGAGTTTGAACAGTGAAATACATATCCAATAAATGCTTACGTGTAATCAGTAAAAAATTAATTTAGTACATTTTTTAACAACGAGTTATTAATAACTATAGGTTCCCAATAAACGTGTTTTAAAATTGATAACTGTTGCGAAACTGAGATTGTAACAAAATTAACTATTTATGTAACAACAATAATTATCAGCGTTGTTGTAAAAATTAATACTATTGTAAAATTAAGAAAACAGCTATACAAAAATCGAAAATATAAATTGAATATACCTATCTATCTATAATAAAGAAACAAAACGTATTACACGCATTTAAAGTATTATACCATAAAATAGATTTTGAAACAATAATAAAAGGAACTAAAATTTACATTCATTTAACACAAATCTACTAAAACGGTAACAATACATAACAATACAAACTATGCAAATTTAATGAACACGTAAGTATTTCTTTCATTTTACTTCTTTCTTTTTTTGGAAACTGCAGTTTCACAACATTGAGATCAACATATACGGTAGGCATTACGTTACCGCATGTCACATAATTAACCAATGATGCCACTATGACAAATTTGCTACATGATAAAATCAACACGATGAAAACGACAATGACGTCCATCATTTATAACTAAGCATGAGTGCAACTAAACCAAAATGCTGGAGATGCTTACATTATATTATGATTGCAAGCCCACGAGGGCTCTGTTCCCTATCCAAAGTAATATTTCTTTTACTAGTAACCACAATATTAAAATCATTTTTCAGTTTGCTATATTTTTTATTATAAAAATCACCACAAAGACGTTTCAAATTTTATATAAAAATCTTGTATTATTTATGTTTATTGAGATTAAAAAATCTTTTATAAAATGAGGAAAAATTAATTTTACATAAATTTAGTGATTTAGAACTGAATTTTCTTTAATTTGTCTGAATGTTTCTGGGTGACTTAAAGGAAATTCCCCTGGAAAACTAAATTATTTACAAGATCTCAAGATATAGAAACCTATATATACAAGCACCGTTTGGTGATTGATAATTTACAAGGTGTTTACCTTGTAAATTTTCAAAAAAAAACTAGTAACAATTCATTTATATTGTGATCTAAATTGAAGTTTTATCTTCTACAGACAATTGAGTTATAACGTTCTTAACGCTACACAGAATGACAATTGGTTTAATCAATAATTCACAAGCTGGGTTAAAAGAAATACGCTAGAATAACCAGAAGAAATGCTAAATCCAAGGTTAACAGAATATAGACAACATTAAAAAAAAGAAACAATACCCTTCTTTTTGTCCGTCTAAAAAATAAAGCAACTATTGTAGTAGCAGTAGACAAATAGCTCAATAATATGATATTGCAATGTTCTTTATCGATAGAACTACTAACTACAAAAGTAAAAATCCCATTTGATTATTCACAAGATAATAAATTAGAATAGTAATTTTGCTAAAATTAATTTATGGACAAATATTTCCATGACATCAACTCAATATTTCTTACAAAGAAATCATCTAATTTAATTATTACGTTTTCTTTTTTTGGATATTATTATACACAAAATAATATAATAGTGAAGTATAACAAAAAACATATGGACGTTACGTTATTTCTGGACATATATGGCTACATAACAGTCGTTTGATATTTTTAGAACCTACTTTATTTATAGGCTAATGATTTGATATGGTCTTTATAAAAGTATTTAAGAAAAAAATTGTATTCGTCTATAGCAAAACTGTTAGAATAAAATTTTATTTTAAGCATAGTCATTGTGAGCTTTTCTATTTTTTTATTTTTATACATACACCTATTCAAAATAAATATCATTGTTCTTTTGTGGTTTGCTGGCAATATTTGAATGAACCCATTACATTAATATTATAATCGTTATACATTAAATGCGGGTCTTCCTAAATTGTAACTATTTAGCCCATAATAGCGTTGAGGATTCTTTTGTGCGACGATTTCCATGCTTGACTCGTAAAACCCGTACACCTACTAAAAGTTCATCAATGTTTCAACAGATTACAAAAAGGCTCGTATGTTCCAATTAAACAATAGCAACGAAATAACTCAAAAACAAAATAATAATATTAGTTTAAAACCAAATTAAAACTAAATTACCCAGCTAATGTTTTTTGAAAGAAGAATTACGAGGAGTTTTCACACTTCTACTCTGAATCATCTATTTATTTAAAATAAATTTTTGAGATTTGAAAATACAGCGTTCAAGTCACTCTATTTAAGTTGCCATAACGCGCTGTAATCCTGTGCAGCGAATCATGCATTAATACTTTAATAAAAGTATTACTATTATACAATATTAAATATTTATATTAGTTTATGAAACATCTATTTCTTACAACAGTTGTTGCCGTTTTATACGAACACTACGTCACGATTATTCCGAAACAACTTTTAAATGGCTTCGTCTACATTATTAATAAACCCGACGACGGTCGACCTCTACACGTTCAATAATATTTTAGACTTTCAAAATAAACCAATAATTAATATAAAATGAAATTCAAATAACTAGACTATTGCCGCTAGGGTTATACTTTATAAAATAACTTCTTAATTAATGAAAAAAACATCTGACCATCAAAACTGGGTTTTGTATTGTTCAATATTCAAAAGTCTGAAAAGGTATGGACAAGAAACGAATATAGACATGCAAAGTTTGCACTAATAGTCAAACGTTTATGAAATTCCACAAATTTCAACTGTTCTTGCTGTTATTATTACTGTATGTTGAGGAAGCTATGAGCCTTGTTTTTGAGTATTTTGAATAAGCACAACATAATACACGTTTAAGATGATTCATGGTCAGACACCAGGCATAGAAAGTGTAAATATAAAAGCAATATCAATGCCGAATATTAAACAATAATATATGTACTATATGCGCGCTATCATGACTAAGTGTCCGAACTATCACCCACTCTAAAACCCGAAATTCTTCCTACATAATACAAATCTCTGGGATATTTCTACGACTCAAGTCGTACAGATGAAAATGAATAACAACTTCCGGCTTTGTCGAGAAATAACAGGAAGTGTGGAAATTGTTTTTATAACCGAGTGATTGAATTTTGTTATCCTAGTATTTGTAATAAATTAGGACTCACCCATGGCGCCAGATCTCGGGCCAATGATGGTCACGTGCGCCTCATGATAATGTCCAAAACCAAAATGCAGTGAGACCTCGAAGACTAAAAATTATTCGTTAAACAGTAACAATAGAACTACATAACATATAACATTCGGCTTGGAAACAGAAACACTGTATATAAATAATAATAAAAACAATTATGACAATAACAAATTTTATTGACCGCACCAACAAGTTGGACGCGCGCGCTCGACAACAACACCGTACGGGTTTTCTTTGCTACTGAGGTGATACAATCGAAATGTGAACACAAGTCAACCCACCGCTCCTGTTGGTACGAAGCGGTCCTCGAGTTTTACCGCCGTTGGACAATCGAACAGGTCGTTGCCGCCGTCACTCTTTACCGATCGTTACCGATTGTTGCCGAACATAACGTTGTCACGCTTTCACGTAGATTCAGATAAATAACGACTACCCAATCAAGTGTCACTGTAGGAGGCATATGTTACCAACGTTCCTTTATTCGTCCTACCGCACATTGTGTCAACGGGATTTGATTAAATTTTTCTCTCATTCAAATTTTATAAATCCTATTTACATAATCATTTTTTGGATTGAGGATAGTTATTAGAAATGTTATTATTAATGGTGTTAATTTTTTTTTATAGTGAAGAGGCATCAGTCTTACATTTTAACTAAATTCTAGTAAAATGAACAACATGTATTATTTTCATTTAACGTATTATCTCAGTTCATTTCTATGTGTCAATCGTTCTACGAGATTTCATGAGAATAGCACAAAGAGTAATATCAGAGAATATATAAGATATTTTATATTCTGTAGTATTAATCCTAAAACTGGTTAAGTATAATTGCATGACTAATTAATTAGACGATAATATATAAAACTAAAACTCCCCATAAAATATTTCGGAATCTACAAATATGTGATGCTTAGGCAATTTACAATATTACTAATATTAATGTAATCATAAAGATAAATTTTATTATTTTTTACTCAATATGTCAATTATGAAACAGTAACATTAATAAAACTTCCATTGATTAAATTATTGATTTTAATTTGCAATTGTTGCGTACAAATAATGTATAATTACTTATTAGTGGAAAATCAATAAGTTATTATTAATTACCATAACATACAATCAATTGAATTACAATGTAATCAATACTGTACGTATTTGTATATTGTTATTATAACTTATGTTCTAATATAATTGTTTAATATAAAGTTATCTAAATAATGACTTTAAAATTAATACAATATTATCTTAACGACTAATGACATTCCACAAAGATAAAATTTATTAAATGCTATCATAACCAAACCATAAATATAAGTTTAAATGTACATGTGTATAGCGCATATTATTTAGAAAAATAAGATGTATTTGAGGATATCTCTTTAAAGTTCTTATTACCGATTTGTATCAAAAACTAGTTCTCTTAGTCTTTAACTTTGTATAATTTGTTTTAAAATTAAAAAATATTTTTTATTAAAGCTGTTATTGGTTGTAAAATAATTGTGTTCTATGTATGATGCATTATTGTTACATGTAAAAATATGTAGGGTAATTCAACAGTGTAGTATTTAGTTACTGGACGAGCAAAAAGAAAAAATGTCTTTCTTATTCCATATTATTGTTATGCGAAAAAATTACGCTACGGTTGTGAGCAATACACACTTTTAACAAACATTGTTTGTAAAGATAGGTTACCGACTAGTAAAATTAATGGAAACTTCCTTGTTAACAAACAACGATGTACAATCTGACATGTGTTCATTTTACACTACACGAGTTACATTAAAAATAACGTTACAAAAAAATCTCTTACGAGAAAATTCAAAATTTATAGAAAAATAAAATAACTTTTTAAAAGAAAATAATAATAATTTATATTAGCATATTCAAAGGATTTATAGTCTTCAGCAGCAAGTTAAAATGGACATATTTTAGAAGTAATGTCAAAAAAAGTGAATCTATAAACGAAAGCCTGATAAACTAATTTTTGGCGATATACAAATAACTACACAAGCATACAACCATTTAATTCAGACATTTTTTGAGGGAGCGCCATTCCATTATTTTTGATGAAGTGAGAGCTATTTTTCAAAAAGAGCATCGTTTCATAGAAAATAATCCTAATTTTGAGGAGGGCATTGCTTCCGTGTCACCCACGTATCCACGGCTAATTTAACTACACAAATTAATTTAATTACACACGACCATAATACAATATAAAAATATTTAAACCAATATTTCAGACGTTATTAACATTCTACTAGTTAAGTAACAATAAGACATATTTTGATATAATTATACTGATTTCGTTGAAATCATATTTCCGAGAAAATTAATAGTGTACTTTTTTTTTTTACTTATTCAAATAGAATTTATTTCTTGATTTTTGAGTGGTTAAATATTTTTTACGTATATCTCCTAGTTTTTTAATTTAGTTTAAGACTATTTTTAAAACCTATTTATTAATTTCACTTTTTGTTAAAATATATTTTCATGAACTCTTGTATGCTTACCTAAATTAAAATTTACTGGGTAGACTCAAATTTAAATAATCTTTTCTTACTTTCAAATGTTTGTATCAACATAGCAAGGTCTAATCTTCTTAGCTTATCTCTTGTCCAGTCGTCCATAATTTTAATATTATAATTAGTATTTAATTAAATACTTTAAATATAAATACATTATATATAATAATAATTATAGTATATTATTGTATTTTAGTATATTATTTTTATTAATATTTAATTTAGTACTTTAATAAAAATAATTTTCCATTGATTACAAATCGAAATTATAAAACAACCTTTCTCGGTGCTATTATAACAATAAATGTAAAATCGTCATTATTAGGTAACACCATTTGTTTTTGTTTGTTAATTTCCGCGAAAAATAACCATCGATGAATTCTCAGCGGTCCAGACAACGAAAGCACGGAATGACTAACACAACTTCAAACAGTTTTCTAACGAGATACAATCACTTAACACCTTAAAATATATTTCTCCATCACAACCGAAAAGCAAAATTTTAACATAGCTTAAATTTGATAAATCATAATACCCATTTAAATATAATAACTCACTTAATGCCATTTTTCCGTTATAGTGGTTTCATTAGTTTTGCAACTGAATTATAAATTAATAATTAATACTGTATTAATAAACTGGGCTATATGAACTATATTGTGCAGTTGCTTTAACCGAACACGTTGGTACATACTACCACAATTCCCAACCGAATTAATTCAGTAATTCTTCCTAAACATACTTGGTAGAATTACCAACTAAGATGGTTGGTTTTACTACAATATGGTTCTACCTACTGTACAGGGTGTTTAGTAATTAAAGAAACAAGTGAGCTATTACAAACAACGAGAACAATAGAAACTCGTTTCCTTACTAACTGAACATAATTTTTAACCGTTTACCATACCAACAAATTTTTTTTTCGTGTAGTGATGTAGACGTGTGCAAATTTTGCTTCGGGGTATGTTATCAAAGTGAAATTGGCTCCTTAATATGATGGTCTTTTTTGTTTATAACTTATGCCTTTGGTGGACGACTTATTTTTAATTTACTCCCCCTAAGAAATTATATGTATTGTTAATTTTTAAAGGAATTTCATTGGGATTTTATACCGAGTCTTCTTTAGGCGTGGATACAACAAAGGACCATAGAATCATTGTCCCTAATTTAAAATTTGGAGGACAATGAACGAAAATGTTAACATTTTCTAAAAACTGATTTAAAAAAATAGTTATAATCCAAACAATAATAGTAAAATTCTTTCTCCTAAAAGATTTTTTTATCCGCACCTGGTTCTCCCACAGTATTTAACTACGTAACATAAATACAATACAAGAAATAATATTAAAAATACATAATATTAATATTTTAAAATATATTAAGTATATTCCTCTTAACTTAAAATTTCTCTAAATTCCAATGTTTAATTTATAGTTATGACTCTATTAAAATCTTAAAAAGTACATAAATTACCAATCAGTAGAATAATTGGAAACTCACGCGTATGTCTTGAAAATTTTTTATTAATTTACTAAAATATGAGAACTATAATAAGTCCTAATCAAGGCGTAGTATAGATTGATAACTGACAGTGATTAGCATTACTATAATATACTCTACAACGAAATTTGTTGGTAAATTTTAGCAGAAATTTTTACTAAAACGGTAAAATACTCATGGAAAATAAGTTGTCGATACAATTAATGTCTATTAATAATATGGTACATTTAAAAAGCTTTAATTTAATGTACATTTAAATTATGTAAACAAGCCAAAACATTTTCAAAAATTAAAAAAAAAAATATTAAAATGCACAAGTAGTTATTTTTTTAAAATCATTTCTATAACTCGGTTTTCAACTGGGTTGCATACTTTTATATAGATTTCAATAAAAAGTAAATTAAAAGATAGATAATTACCTTTTATATAATAAATAACAATTTTGTTTAGGGTTGAGTTTTAAAAAAGTTATTGTGATAATAATATACAGAAAAAATATCCTAATCTTGTCACTGATATGCTAATTTTTAAATATTTTTCAAAAATAGGACTTTTTTCTATTTTTTGAAGTTGATAGCCCAATTAGATAATAAAAAATAAATCATGGTAAATCTAAAACCTTTTCAGCTTCACATCAAATTTAATATATTTTGATATTTATAAAAATTCAATGTAATAACAATGGACAACTGATAAAAAAAATAACGCCCTTTCTTTTTTGCACATACCATACACATCAATGTTAGTTATATGTGAAAGCATCTGGTTTAGAATTTATAAACGACAGACTTTTCTAAATAGTGTAATCTGATAATTCAAGCTCCACTGATATATATTATTCTACTTCTATTTTGTTGTTATCCCAATATTTTGGGGTCGGCCACTCATATCCTAAACTTCTACTTGACACGATCTCGTACGTCATCTGTACACAAACCATAACTCCTCATATCACCACCAATTGCAAAAATTTAACCATAAACAGGTCTGTTGAAAATATAACAAAAATGTACAACAATAATTGTTAAAATAAATTAATAGGAAAAATTCAGATTAACTTGACTGATAAGGAAAATAAAAATATTCACTTTGAAGCATTATTATTTAAAAGTAGTTTATTAGACAGTTAATGCATTATTTATGCATAAAAATGTAGCACGTTTATAATTAAATTCTTCATTGACTTAAAAATTTCTTTAGTGAAAAATTATACATTTTAAAGCCAAAATACAGTTCTACAATTGAAATATATTAAATTTTATGAAATATTTTAACAAAAAGAATTATTAATAAAATTAAAAAATACAAATTGTATTATTAAAAATAAATAGATTAATGTCTTTTCGCATTGAGCATAAATTGAGAAAACACATACATATTATGAAAAAATAACTATGAATAAATTTTAGTTATAATTTTTACACATTACACTAAAATAATATAATGATCACAGATCTCTTGTTTCTTATTAGATAAGTTTTTTTTATGATATTAACTACTGCTATTTGTTATGATGTACTTAAAAAAATGTGTTTACTGCGAGAAACTAATATGCAATAAAGTTTACATAAAATTATTACTGGTATATTATTAATAACATGACTAGATTAAGTGGTACACATATTAAAAACAAAAAAAAAAGATTTTAAATTTATCTATATATGAATTTGTAGAAAAAAACTTAAGAAAATTCCATATTTTTCAATTAACAACAAATTACAAAATTACAAGTTTGTTATAAATAAATAAAGGTGATTTTAACATTTCTCTATTAAAAAATTATTGCTATTAACCAACATATTTTTGATTAACAAATCAAATTTAATTTGATGAATAATTAAAACTAGTTTTCTTGTTTTGATATAAGAAATAATTTCATAATTAAAAAGAAAGTTGATAGTATGAAATAGATCAAAGCAGATAAATGAAAAACAAACATTTTAATCAATTTAAAATAAAAGAAGTATAAAAATAATATAGACATTAGTATTATTATTGTTACTTTTAATTACTTATACTGTATGTGTTCAAAAACTTTTGAATATTTTTTACAAAGAAACGAACAAAAATAAAAAGTATGAAAAATTATTCTAACATAAACAAAATAAAGAAAATTTTTATTTAGAAATATTAATTCAAATCTAGTTATAAGATATGAATTGGTACATCTAAAATTGAAAATTATGTTATGCTAACATTTTTAAACTTCTTTTATACAGTAATAATACGTTCTTTATATTTTTGTGTAACTTTAAAAAAAAATCAAATAAATAATAGAATAAATTAACATTATTTAAATTAAAAATTTTGAGTAAACAAAATTGTTATATTTTTAGTAATCAAGATTTAAGAGGAATTTTTCATTGATATAAGTTTTCTGTACATTTTTTTACAACGAAGATCATTCATTTTTAATAGTTAAGTTTATTGAAAAAATATAAATTTTATATTTAAATACTTGAAATTTTATTATTTGTAATATTTACATGTTTTCTTATATCAGTTAAAGTATTAAGTCATTTTTATTTTAACCATACTTAAAAAAACATTATTTAATGTATTAAATATAAATAAATGAATAATTATGAAAATAAAGAAATAATATAAACTTATATCTATATTAATGAAAAAAGTATCTCTTTTAAAATTAAAATTATTAAATCAAATAATTATATCATGTGAAACAAACTAAAAAGATATTTGAAATATTATGTTTATTTTTGTTGGATCTTAATATACTCCATAAATCAATATATAGGCTATTTTTATGAAAGCCAACATTTAGTATAACATTAAGTGTAAGTATAGTGTTATTTAGAAGATTGAGATTCTCATACAGTTAATTATTATTTAAACATTGTTATACAAACAAATAAAAAAAATAAGTCAATGTAAATAGTATATTACTTGAGTTTGTGTAATATTAAATAGTTAAAATACTTTTTATGTAAATTATATTTATATGAAATATGAGTACTGTATACCAAGAAAACAAATGTTTTTATCAGTCTATAATTTAAGAGTAAAAGAAATAAACATTATTGAATTATTTAAGTAAATAATGTTTAATTTATAAAATTCATGGAAATTTTATGATAGTAGACCACATTCTACCATATTATAAAAATTCAAAGTATATTGGAAGAATTGTTTTTTAAATTACTTCTTGTATAACAATGTTTCAGTTAAAAAACTACATCAGTAATTAATAAAGGAACAATATTATAAGCACAAGGCTCAGGAATAAAACGTTAACACAGAACTTTGGTTTCCTCTAACCAATAAAAATGGTGGCATACCTTGAGTTAGAGTCTCTAACCATGACATATATAATGGTGCTGGTACCACATTTTTTCTTGGCATTGGTAAAGTCCTAAAAAAAAAACAAATAATTTAATAAATGTCTATTTATTAAAGCCTTATTTAAAATACTCCATTAAGTTATTCTAGTTTGTTTTTGATTATTCATAAACCCTTATACAGTACATATATAAAAAATATACACTTGTATAAAAATTTTAAAATAGCAATATTGTAAATAATGTTAGAAATTATTATTTATTTTGAATATAACAATCAGCTAAATAACCAATAAGTTATTAATACTAATGTTTTAAATATTTAAAAAACAAAACAAGTAATTTAATTATTATTATTTGTTTTACAAAATTTACTTTAATTTTGTTGTCAATAAAAATGAACCATGCAAAATTGTTTAAAACAAACAATAAAAAACCCAGCACAGGGGGGTCGCGGCACAGTGGTGACGTGGTATAGATGGATCAAGTATAATGATATCTGACAGTGATTAAAATCACTATCAAAAAAAAAAAAACGCTTCGATGCAAATCTTTAGATACTGTTTAATTTTAAAAAATTGGTGGACTATTCCAAAAGCTACATTATCTGCTAGTTCATTATTAATATCCTAATTAAGATAAAGTATGTAGAATGAAAAAGGGATTATTAAAAAATATTATTTCTCATAAAAAAATAATGTTGATCCATACACTTTTCAATATGTCATAGCATTATAAAGTTAAAAATGTAAAAAATAAAATCGAGAATTTTCACACAATAATAGCATTCGGTAGCCATTTTCACCGTGAAGATAAAATAAAGTCCGAAATTTTTTTTTCGCATAATAAAGTAAATTACATTAGCTTTAATTTAAGATATATATAAAAGTGTCAGACTTTCCGGAACACTTTCAAAATTTAAGTTGAAAAAGTAAATTTTTTGTGAAAAAGTTGTCATTTTAAATCCCCCCCTGTGGGCAGGTAAAGGGTCAGATATAAAAAAAATATATACCAAATGATAGGTAAAGACATCATGCATCTATAAAAAAAAAATTATATTGATCCATACATCTTTCAAAAAGTTATAGCATTATAAAGTTAAAAATATAAAAATGAATTTTTTTACAAAAATCGTATTTTTTTTATAAACTTTGATGTCTGTTTTCACCATGAAGATAAAATAAAGTCCGAAATTTTTTTTTTGCATAATAAAGTATATTACATTAGCTTTAATTTAAGATATATATAAAAATGTCAGACCTTCCGGAACACTTTAAAAATTTAAGTTGAAAAATTTCTACTTTCTATATGCATTTTTATGTTTTGAATCCCCCCTGTATTTAGGGAAATGGTCCGATTTAAAAAAACAGTATGTCGAATGAAAGATCTATATAAATACTACTTCTCATAAAAAAATTGTAATGATTCATACATTTTTCAAAA